GGTTCAACAGTTACTTTGTTCCAGAAACAGATTTTTTCAGTTTTGTTTTCAATCAGGTCAAACTTTATCGGTCATTAGACACGCTAACGCTAGAGATGCTCCCGACTCGACACACGGGCGCTGCGTGATGTTATTATCGTTGTCTGGGCAACCAAGATGTTTTCCACCATGTGGCAAAGTTCAGCCAATCACAGCGTAGCGTCACGGCAGGAAGCTGGACCCTCCTGATAGATTATAAACACCCAGCCTGACAGGAAGTGATGTCAGAGGTGCCGCATTGCGCCTCTGCAGGCCAGATCGGCCATTTTTTTTCGCCTTTCCTTTTTATGTATTTTAAATGTTATTGAAGTTAAACCATTAAAAATGGTTTAATATAAAACCAACAAACAAATTCAGTAGATTTTAGCGTATAGATAATCTATATGAGTTTATCTACCAGCTATCAGCTGACCAGGCGCTAACAGTAATAATCTGAGATTATTACGGCTTCACTGCAAAAACAATTTAAATCTCAACAAATCATTTTTTCTTGGACTGAGGAGGGTGAGAAACTTTATCAAAAGAAAAAAACAATTTTCATTTAAAATGAGTAAAGAAACAACTGCGTTGTTTTATTTCAGGTGCCTATTATCTAATTATCTTAATTTGAGATTATAAATACTCATCTTATTAGCGAATAATCTTATTTACCTGCTCAAATTAAGGGTAAATAAACTTAATTTAAGGAGTTTGTACTTATTTCTGATGGTTTTTCGCAGTGTTCTGCTGGTTTATAGGGACGTGTTTGTGTCTCTTCTTCCCAAAAAAGAAGAACGGTGTTTTTCTGTAATTGCTCGGTTAAAGCCGCCTCCCTCCCTGAAATAATCAGGCAGCCTCAGCACTTAATATTCAGGCGCAGTAGAAGGAATCAAACAATGGTCCGTCGCTGCCAACAGAATCCTGCAGCATTTAACAGGACTGCAAACATGAAGCACAGAGCGACTGTAGGCAGCAGAGCCGTTTAAACCCACAGAGCTTTAAATGATGAGAGGAGGTGACAGCTGGATGGACATCAGCCAGAGCCCATGTGAACACAGACTAACAATGGCTGACACTGAGGGTTAGCGTCTGAAGGCAGGACTGCATTACCGCTCTGGATCCGGTCCAGAAACAGGAGCAGCTCCAGAGCTGCCAGCAGCTGGAGGGAAACCAGCGACTGATGGAGAGAGGAGGAACCGACCCTTCACTGTTAGAGGAGGAAGCAAACAACAGAGGGACTAAATGTAATCCTAATCCAGCTGCTGCCTCCGTTAGGATGAACCTTCACCCAGAGGGACCCGCCCACCTGCTTCTACCGGAGGACTCATCTGGGCTGAAGCCGTTCATCAGACCAAGGCCTGATCTCCTGAATCCAGGAGGAGGACTGGAGGTCTGCTCCTCTGCTGGCGTCCATCTTGGACCGAGCCTTGAAACAACATGGCGTCAGAGACTGAAGGAGCCGGAGAGCGTCCTAAAGTTGCCTCAGATACGTCAGCAGGCATTTTTTATTTGGAGCACAAACACCTACGACAGCAGGAGCCTCCAGCATGTCCACCCACAGCTCCTCCTCCTCCTACTGCTCCATCATCTCCTCCTCCTCCATCATCTCCTTCTCCTCCATCATCTCCTCCTCCATCATCTCCTCCTCCATCATCTCCTTCTCCTCCATCATCTCCTCCTCCATCATCTCCTCCTCCTCCATCATCTCCTCCTCCTCCATCATCTCCTCCTCCTCCATCATCTCCTCCCGTTTCTGGAGCTCTGACCTCTCTCCTTTGAGGGAGGGTCTAACCTGCCTGTGATTGGCTCCTCTGCTGTCACAGCGAGTGACATGAAGGCGAAGAGGAGCATGAATCCCAGAGGCATGATGGGTAAATATCAGTGACGGATTGAAGCGTCGTGATTTTCAATCTGAGGAAATTCAAGTTGGGAATTTGGAGACTAGCTGACATGTTTTAGATAAAACCAATTTAATGGGTATTTATTATTCCTGTGCAGTTTGGACAGAATTCATTAGACCTTTATTTGTCTTTTTTGTCCCCCAATAAGAACGGCTCAGATTAGGGTTAATCTGACAGTCAGGATTGGACCTGCTGCCTCCCAGTCTTTAACCAGGAAGGTCAGGGAGGAACCAGTCCTCATTGAAAACCAGATCAGCTCCTGTAACCACGGCAACATGCTGGGCCTCCACTTTTCTGGGGCGACAGAAAGTTTTGCTTCATTATTTTGTGATCAAACTGGTCAATCTGGAGTTTCCAGGATTCCTGCTTACTTTCCATCTTTAAAGTCTTTATTTTCCAGGCTCCAGGTTCCCATTTTCCAGACCTTTCCAGGTTCAGAATTTACTGCAGTTCATCAACAGACTCCCTTTGCAGCTGCAAAGGCT